ACGCATTACTGCTCACTAAATTTGTAAAAATAAAATTTTTTCACTTAATTGTTATATTCTTCCTCATTGTGGTAAATTTACTCATCATCACAGCGGGGCGCAATCTTCTTTTCTATGATTATTGTATCGCTACTTTGAATTTCTCAATTTTGACAATTCTGATCTAAAAGTAAACGAAACCTCAGAAACTTTAAATGCACTGAAATTCACTAATACCCACTTCCGCAAAAATCACCTTATTTCGTATTTCCTTTGTTAAAAGTTTTTGTAAATCACATAATTTTATTGCCTTATTAATAAAAAATAAAAATTTTAAAAAGCTTTTTAAATTGCCGTTTACAAACATTTTTCAATTTATAAGCCTTTTTTAAGTTACTTTATTGTTTATGAATAAGGCTATTACAAATTAGCACAATCAAAACACGTTCCTTATCGAAAAATTTATTATTAAGAAAATTTGCTGTTCTCACATTTTCTTTCAACATCCAATTCGACTTTTATTACTTTTTGTACAGATATGTCATCGCCGCCAGGACGGCGCAATCTTGTATTCTATCTTTCTTGTCAAATATGCATTTAGATCTAACTGTCATACTACTATTAATGGTAACCATGAATATTCATTAAAATCGTTTCAATTCGGAATAAAAGTAATTTACATACCGCTAGTGTAAATATATTTTTTAATATAAACTACCTTTTTTAATTCTAAAATAAATCAACAATCTCAAGATTCAGAAATTAGATAGAGAAAATTGTCTTCAAAAAATACGCCCCAAATCATCCCTGTTGATATCATAATTCAAATGCAAATTAGAATATAAATTTTTATACAAAAGTTTTTCCGCGATATTCATCATACAAATTTATCATCTTACTTGTCCGTACGTCGCTCTGGAAGGAAATATATTTTAACTGATATGTTTTCTTGAAAATAAATGCAAATTTACCTATTTTTTCCACCGCACGTTCCTTATCGAAAAATTTATTATTAAGAAAATTTGCTGTTCTCACATTTTCTTTCAACATCCAATTCGACTTTTATTACTTTTTGTACAGATATGTCATCGCCGCCAGGACGGCGCAATCTTGTATTCTATCTTTCTTGTCAAATATGCATTTAGATCTAACTGTCATACTACTATTAATGGTAACCATGAATATTCATTAAAATCGTTTCAATTCGGAATAAAAGTAATTTACATACCGCTAGTGTAAATATATTTTTTAATATAAACTACCTTTTTTAATTCTAAAATAAATCAACAATCTCAAGATTCAGAAATTAGATAGAGAAAATTGTCTTCAAAAAATACGCCCCAAATCATCCCTGTTGATATCATAATTCAAATGCAAATTAGAATATAAATTTTTATACAAAAGTTTTTCCGCGATATTCATCATACAAATTTATCATCTTACTTGTCCGTACGTCGCTCTGGAAGGAAATATATTTTAACTGATATGTTTTCTTGAAAATAAATGCAAATTTACCTATTTTTTCCACCGCACGTTCCTTATCGAAAAATTTATTATTAAGAAAATTTGCTGTTCTCACATTTTCTTTCAACATCCAATTAGACTTTTATTACTTTTTGTACAGATATGTCATCGCCGCCAGGACGGCGCAATCTTGTATTCTATCTTTCTTGTCAAATATGCATTTAGATCTAACTGTCATACTACTATTAATGGTAACCATGAATATTCAATAAAATCGTTTCAATTCGAAATAAAAGTAATTTACATACCGCTAGTGTAAATATATTTTTTAATATAAACTACCTTTTTTAATTCTAAAATAAATCAACAATCTCAAGATTTAGAAATTAGATAGAGAAAATTGTCTTCAAAAAATACGTCCCAAATCATCCCTGTTGATATCATAATTCAAATGCAAATTAGAATATAAATTTTTATACAAAAGTTTTTCCGCGATATTCATCATACAAATTTATCATCTTACTTGTCCGTATGTCGCTCTGGAAAGAAATATATTTTAACTGATATGTTTTCTTGAAAATAAATGCAAATTTACCTATTTTTTCCACCGGGAGGCACGAATATGATATTCAAAACAGAAGCAATGACAACGAATTTTACACACATTGTTGTATTTTAGCGCAAAACGATAAGTTTCACAAATATTTTAAATTATTGCCTGCAACGTACACATTTATCGTTATTATTGGAAATGCAAGACTTGGCACGCATTTTTAATTTCTTTTTTATTGAATGCAAATGAATAAAAACACATTTTTCTAAAATATTTCTCAATTTACATTTTAAAGTTTTTTCTGAAACTTGAATGTAACTCTAAGCGGAGAATGAGAGAATTGAAAATCAGGTGATCTCAGCTGTTTTCAAATGTAAACAAACAAAATGGCGCTTTCCATACTTGTAAGCCTATACAATGATATAAAGCTCATTAAAATGTTCTGTAATGTCTTGTTGTAAGTTTGTTATCATAGTTCTTCGTATTTTTATTGTCCACTAAACGTGAGTGGCTTCAATTTAAAAAGTTCTAGTACAAAGAATTTCTTTGTTTTGAATTTGTTTGTTTATTGTTTTTAATTTTTAAATTCATACTTTTGACATGTATGTGAATGGCGGAGTTTCTGGTTTCCTCCTTTTCGGTGGGTTTTTATATTAAAAAGGCATCAAAATGGTATCTCTGCATCTGTTAAACTTTTTATGGGAAGTTGTATGAAAATTCAACTTGCTATAATTTCATATGCTTAACAGTATCACAACAGTATGTTTACAGTATCTCCCCATAACTTTTCATATGAAAAAATTTATTATATGCATCCCACTCGATATCTTTGAATTCCTCATTAGAACATGTAGTCCCTCTATTTTAGCGTATCAACAGTTCATATGGCTTCATACCATGTAAATGCGCCATAATACAATCACTGAGTTATGCAATAGATCCGTATACACATGCACATATAGTTATGTACATAAATACTTCTTAAAATATCTCATCTTATTGGCGAAAAGATAAATAAAAAATTGTAATACCCATCCATTAAATCACAACCGATAATCCCAAGTCAAACCAACCAATGAAACAACCAAGCGGCCGATCTAATAAACCGTTGTCAACCAGCTACGCCAAGGGTTGTACCGCTGGCCAGCTGATAAACGTGAAATGCAGGAAGCAAGCTCCGAAGGGATGCTCACTGAGCTAGAGGAAATACACGCACGCGTCGTGTTCGGAGGCATTTTTGCACGTGCAACGCTCGACTTGATTGCGGCAAAGGAATAAAAGACCTGTCAATGCCTAAGGCTACCACCGGCTAACCTGGCTGTTTAGTCAACCACCAGTTTATGCTAAAAAGGCGTACGCTGGTGCATTTTACCCCCCGGGGAGGGTGGAAAATATGACACTTTGTTCCTCATTTAGCGCATCGACGACGTAATGATTCGATTATTTACGCTTCCCATTGTACTTTGGGTATTTTGAGAGATACACAATGAAGGATTGCTATTGATTTGGTTGACTTTATTTTTTTTTTGTATTCAAAGCGTTTATGCGCGGTTGAGTGATTTTATAACAGGGAAAGAAGGAGGGTTGATAAATCGAAAAAAGTATCGAAGTGCTATTCAATACCCATAGGAATAACAATGTAGAGCGCATAAATAATGATAATGTGGAAAAATGATGTATGATGGACACAATTGTTTTTTGTAAAGAAATTGAAATGGAATTATGGGAGTACTGAAAAGTTTATGTTATTAAAAAAATATGCGAATAAGGAATTTTATTATGAATTAAATATCTCAGCAACTTTATACGACTGAAGTGTTATTGAGAAAAATTTTAACGGAAATTAAAAACATTTTTCTTAAAAACTGTTCGCCATTTCAGGGGAATTTTCCGGGCCCGGAATAATTCTAACTAGCGGTGATAGACCTAGACCCTTATAGTAAAACCTCCAAACTGGTTTGAATTATCAGGTGAAATTTTTGTTCATGTTATGGACATATTAGGTTTGCAATCTTTTGCCTGAATGCTTTTAGAACACGTGGAAAGGGGGACAAAATTTATATCAGGGCGAAATATGCAGTTTTACGAGGTATACTTTTCATATTTTAACCCATTAGCTCTCTCAAGAGGGGGTCTTGTTACCTCTTTTTTGGATAGCTTGAATAACATGCCATTTGGGAGTCGCTAGAGGGTTAAAATTTTGTAGAAAATTATACGCCGTAAAATTTCATTATGGGTATTCTCAGACAAAGTCTTAATGCAAAGAATTTTAAAGTCCACAGAAACGAAAAAAAAACAAATATGTCCCCTTGATTCTAATTATAGCGGGGAATGCGATACTGATGATTCGAGCCAAAATTATATTTATGAACAAAATATAAAATAAAGCATACAAAATTTGTTGCATATTTCAAGGCGACATATTTGCTTTATTTATTTCAATTGGACTTTCATATTCGAATCATACAATTTTTTTCTGAAAATTAAAATTGCCGGCAAATAATTTACGAGAATATTTTAACCCTCTAGCAAGCCATGCAGAGTCCGCAATAATCTCCGGAAGCATTTACTGGAAGATGCCGAGTATACTTTGAAGTGCCATCAAGTTATAACTTAAGAAAGTTTTATTACATGACAGTTGAGAAGTGCATGTGGAAAAATTTCATAAATTTAATGAAAGAGAATTTTGAACATGCAGCAGTACATAGCATGCATTTGGACGCTTGTTGTTAGTAGTCGCCCCTAAAGAGTGGTAATGCTAATTTTTATGGTAATAATAATGGTAATAGTGATGGTAATGTTGAAGGCAATAGAAATGGTAATAAAGGTGGTAGTGGTGAAGGTAGCGGCAAGGTTAATGGTAATTGCAATCATTAACCTGTTCACCAATTTTAGTAAAAAAAAACTTGTTTCCTTCTGTTAGTTTTCATATTAGTTAAATTCAAATAAAGGAATTATTTTTCCTTTAAATGAAATTATTCATTTACAGCATTAACTCTTAAAATTAGCAACTTTCAAAGCTTTATTTCAAACACTTTAAAACTAACATTCCTATGAGTTTATTTTTCATTCTCAATAGAAAACAATCTCATCTAGATACTTATGTCTGTATTTATGTATCACTCCAGTTATCTCACTTACAACAGCGGTATGTCATCTTTATCATTTTCCTCACACAGTGATTGTTCGTCAGCCGACCCTCTACACCCCGGTTTATTCCGCCTGAGGCTGGGTAATGAAAGCTTCAAACGATTTCCCACCGTACTTGCACTAGCGGTGCTGCTGCCATTCTGCGTTGCACTTTCGGGATGGAAGTTTTCAATTATCGAGTTGCTGTCTTCAGCACCGCCATCATTCTGATTCTTTTTCAATAATTTTCTCACCCAAATGACTTTGAGTGGTTCTCTATGTCGATAGATGGCGCCCGTCACGATGGCGATAAGCAGTAGCGCAAATATAAAAAAGAGCGCTATGGATTGACGTGGATTGGTTTCTGGCTTCGGTTGCCATTGCCAGGTGTGCTTTGTGGTATTGGTTCGCGTTCGAATTGCTGAAAGAGTTATACATTGATAATAATTTTTTTTTTGTGGTTTAACAATTTTGGCAGTTCTGAGTCCGCGATCGCTCTAGAGAACTTTAATTTAGAACTATTCGTCTTCTATTATTTATTCATTCGTATCAGGCAGGTTCTGCAATACACTTCCGAGTGAATTTCAACCAAATACAATTTGAGTTTGAAATTGATTAAACTAGACAGTCAAGCCTATAATGTTTTATGGCGCCCTAGTTTTGTGGAACTTACACGAAAAGGCTACACAAGCTAAGCAACTGGAGTACGTGGCGCACAGCGGACTATCCCACAGTGACATTCAACCAAATTCTGAACGTAGCGCCTGACGAGGTGGCAGGCAGAATTCCCGCAGCGCAAATAGCTTTTATATCCGGGGAAGCCGATTAGTTAACCGACTTAAGGACTCGACACTCTGCAGTTCCGGAGGACATCGATTTCATCCCTAATCATGCGGATTATCGCGCCAAAGAAATGGCTCCAAGCAGCTTCTTTTCTGACCAAATTTGCCCTCAGGGGAGTTTTGGGAGCTGTGGAATTTAAGTAAACTTATTCACGAATGGATCGAAACTGGACGGCAGAGTATATGGGTCGCTCTTCTGTCGAGAGCTGTCCATCAGTACTAATTTCAAGCTTCCAGATTGCTGGTATTTCACGCGGAAGTGAAGATGGCGGTCGATTAACTGCTCTGAAGTGCGATGACAGTCAGGGAGGCGAGCATTTATTCTCATAGGCAAGCGATTAAGGAATGTTTGCTCTTTCTCTCTCAGTCGCGTCAGAATACTTCTGTATTAAACTCATTTGCGTTCGGGGTCACAGTGACATATCGGGTAACTGTTTGGCTGACGAATTGGCTAGGTGAGGTACACTTTAAACGGTATCGCCCGATAAAGAAGTCCTAGGGGTGCCATTGATAACTTGCGGTTCACTATTGGATAGCAGGGCCTCATGTCAGTTCAGCGAGCGCTGGGCGAAAAATAGGACATGCGAGATTGCTAGGTTCTTCTCGCCACGGGTGGACAGGGGATGGTCAAGGTCATTCCACACACTTACAAGGCCGCAGCTGTCACTTTTGGTGGGGGTTTTAACGGGTTACTGTCCAATCGTTATTCACGCAGTACGGCTAAACATATTGCCTGATCCCATGTGACGCAGTTCTCTGGAATACGACGAATTGGAATCACCTAAACACTACCCCTTTAGGTGGCCAGCGTTTGCATGGCTAAGGTTGAAGTACTAGGCTCTATCATTCTTAAAAGCTTCGGGCAGCTCTGGAGCATTGAAATTATCCGAATTCGTAATTGCATAATCGACTCGAGGCTTTTCATCGCTTAAGTTAGACAATCTCTTAATTGCCTAAGTGAGACTCTGACATTTGGGGCGGCTGCCACATAACCTCCTATTACCTGACATATACGGTAACAACCATAACCGCAATTAAGACCTAAATAACATAACACTAAATATGCCCAGGAGAACTTCCCGATCTAAAGCCTTCGAGTAGCTTTTTAAATAGAGCAAAGATGCTTAAAGGATACAAGCTGCAGTGAAGGCTTGCCCGAAGTGAAGTATTGGTACGTGTGCTTGGTACGATGAACGAGTTGAGATCGAAGCTAATCTTCTACGTATATTATTATATAAAGTCTAATTAAAAAATTAACATAGCTTAGCTACTCACTTTCATTACGCGACAGTTCCATCGTAACGCCTTCAGATACCTTGCGGTTAGTCGTAGCGCCAGTAGTTGTTTCCAGCATAGGCTGTGTGTAAATTATGGTTTTTGTTGTGGGCTGACGAGTGGTTGAGATAGTTGATCGTTTTGTGGTTGCGGTTGTTGTTGTTTTTGTTCTTATTATTTTAGTTGTTCTAGGCGTTGTTGGTTTTCTAGTTGTTGTTGTTGTTAGCGTTGTACGTTTTGTGGTCGTTTGTTTTGTTGTTGTGCGCGTAGACGTAGGCGGTGGTGTAGGCTTACGAGTAGTTGTTGTGGTTCTGGTTGTGCTTGTTGTTGTTGGCTTACGGGTGGTTGTTGTAGTTGTCGTAGAGGTTGAGCTCGTACTAGCGGTTGTGGGCCTGCGAGTTGTTGTCGTAGTGGTAGTTGTTGTACTAGTAGTAGGCGTGGGATTTCGCGTTGTTTTTGCTGTGGTTGTAGTCGTTGTTGTTCTCGGCGTGGTAATGATGGTTTTCTGCGTTGTTGAGGGTGTTGTAGTTGTAGTTGTAGTTGATGATGTGGTATTCTCTGTTGTCGTTGTGGTATTTGCTGTTGTCGTTGTGGTTGTGGATGTTGTGGAAATCTGATCGTCATCTGCCGCATCTGTGGAGATTCAGGAATGAGTACTGAATTTCGCGTTATACTTCTTATTTCTTTGTAAGTAGCTTACCTAAGCAGACTTTTATGTAATCGGGACAGCAGTCATCATCTGCAATACAGCTGTCGTGGCAACTGCATAGACCAATTAGTCGACTTGCGTTGCGCATTATGCCAAAGTTTGTTTCCTGGCCACAACGTGAATCGCACGACAAAGTGTCGTAGAGCGACGCCTCTGCAGGGAATATACACAGTTATTTTATTGCCTGTTGTAAAGTTATTCATAGATACTCGTAAAAAAAGAAAGGCAGCTCACCAGTAGTTGTAGGCTCATACTCAGCGGAGTCATCCGGCCCGTCATCGTGATTATCCAAGGATTTACACTCGGTTCCGGTCATTATTTTAACATCATCTATGGCAATGTCACTGAGGTGATTTTTAGCGCCATCTGCAACGAAGACTATTTGAAAATCGTCCTCCATTTCATCGATATTGAAATGCGCCTCAATCCAGTTATTTTCCTGAGTTCCAGACTTTGTAAATTTCACATAGCTGCACATATGTATAAGATTTTGAGTATTAACCAATCGATCCGCCACTTTCACTCTAACCAAGCAACATACTTATCCTTATCCTCTATAGCCTCCGACAACATCTTCGCCACCGGCTTCACGTAGACATTCAAATTACCCACACCAGCGCCATACATGAGGTAGTAAAATTGGAAACAACATGCCGTCCTAAGGCTTTTATCTCGCCCATAAATGGGCGATGTGAGCGCAGCAGGCGCTGTGGTGGCGCCAAAGCTTTCCATCAGCATGTAATGACCGCCACTTGCTTTCATTGTGGTGTGATCGTGTTTCGGTCCAGTATGAAAAGATGTAAACACATTGGCGGCCATGGCGCGACGCCATTTGAAACTCTCTGACACATCCACCACCCAACCACAGATGTCGCTGGATTCGAAATCGCATTCATGGCTGACGGTGTTGGAGAGCTCTGCAAGAATTGAAGAAGTAAAAATATGATTATGCCCGAATTAGTTGAATGTAATGGTCAGAAAACGTTACAGTCGCAGAGGCAAAGCTGACTAATCGATCATTTAATCCACAATTGAATAATTATATGGTGTTACATAATAATAATAAAAAGATTCATGACCTTTTTAAGAGACCTAGTACAGGTCGTAGGCCCGAGTAATTCGGGAAACTGTCTTCAAAATTTTTCTAATATCCTCAATTTCTTAAACTCTCATTAAAAAACTATTTTCGCATGACTTCCGGCATTCAAAAATTTTTAGCTCGGTTATTTTTCAACCAATTTTAATTTTTTAAAAGACTTACAGAAGAAGAATATTTTTACTTTTTTTTAATAACTTTTT